TTTTTTTATCTCTAGCATTTAAAATAGGCCAAGACTAGGAGAAGAACAATTTCTATTTTGGATGTATTAAATTTATGACTTTTTGTTTTAGACAAGTGGAATTATCAAGAAGGCACATAGATATTGTTGTTATGTACCATTGAGTCAGAACTGGCCTATAGCTGATCCTTCAGTGGGTTTTCAGAAGCAGCAAATCACACAGGAGGAGATTGCCCATCTTTCTCCTGTGGAACACCTGGTAAATTTGATCTGTGTGCCTTTGCATTGGCAGTGCAGCTCCTTAGTGTTATAGGCAGAGTCACTGGGATCTAGGTGGCTATAAAATTGTGATGCCATATAAGATTATATAAGGTGAGAGTGCAGACAAAAAAGTTGCAGGATCAAGTCCTGTAACATGCCAACATTCAGAGGTCCAGTAAAAGCAGAGGATACATGAAAGAGACCAGGAAGAAACAATCAAGAAAGTAAAAGGAGGAGCTGACTGTACCTTCTCTGTAGAGAAAATGCAACAGTCAGAGGAACCTGGTCACCAGCCTTGTTATTGACCATCAGTAACAATAATAGACTGTAAGAGAGGTCGGCTGCATGTAACAAAAGAAAAGGAAGAGAAGACACAAATAACTCAAATAAGGAATCACAACACAACCAGCTGAATATAAATTTATAATAATGGACTTTTATGAAAAGGTATATACTCTAATAAAATTGGTAAATCGAGAGAAAAGAAACAAATTCGTAGAAACCCATACACTACCCAGATTGACAAGGACAGATGTAGAATATTTGAATAGACCCATCACAAAAGAAGAAACTGAGCAGGTCATAAAAACACCCTCCCCTCAAAAAGTCTTGGCCCAGATGGCTTCATAACTGAATTTTACCAAACACTCAGAGATAAACTATCACCAATTCTACCTAAATTTTTTTTTTAAATATAAAAATAAGGACTATTGCGAGAGTCATTCTATGAAGCAAGCATAAGCCTATTTCCAAAACCAGGCAAAGACATTTCCAAAAAAAGAAAACTATACGCCAAGAACTCTAATGAACAGACATGCAAAAATACTTAATAAAACCCTTGCCAATAGAAAAATAATAATAATTCGTGGCCAAGTGGGATTTATAACAGGTATGCAAGGATGGTCCAACATAAGAAAAACAATTAATGTAATTCATATTAACAAAGCAAAGAACAAAAACCTTTCAAGAAATGATCCTATCAATTGATACAGAAAAGGCCTTTCCTAAAATCCATCACAACTTCCTGATTAAAACACTCAACAAAACAGGAATAGAATTTCCTCAACACAGTAAAAAGTATATATGCAAAACTGAGAGCCAGCGTTCTCAATGGAGAAAGACTAAAAACTTGTCAACAGGGACCAGACAAGGATGCTCACTATCACCACTCATATTCAACATTGTTTTGGGAATACCTGTTAGGGCAATATGACAAGAGAAGGAAATAAGAGGCATCAAAATTGGCAAAGAAGTGGTAAATTGTCGCTATATGCAGATTATACAACAGTGTACACAGAAAACCCCAAAGACTCAACACAAAACCTGTTAGAGATAGTAGATCAATTTAATAGAGTGGTAGGATATAAGATCAATATACAAAAGTCAGTGAGATTTCTCTACAGTAACAAAGAAAACATGGGGAAAGAACAGCATACTTGAAAAGGTGGAGGAATAGCAAAGGAGAGGAAGATTCTTAACCCAGTGGGTTACACAGTGATTGCAACAATGGGCTTGAGTGTGTAAGAGATTATGAGGTGGCCCAATATAAGGACAAAGTTCAGATCTATTGTTCAGAGCATTGCTAAAAGTCCTACTTGACAGCACCTAATAACAACAGACACACAAAAGATTTTTGTAATGAAAACTACAAAACACTACTCCAAGAAACAGTAAAAGACATAACCAAGTGGAAAAATATTCCCTGTTCATTGATGGGGAAACTCAACACAATGAAAATGTCAGTCTTACCAAAGCAATCTACATGTTTAACACAATCCCAATAAAAACACCAAAGTCATTTTACAAAGAGAAAAGAAAAAAAAAATCCACACAAACCCAAAGAGATAGAAAATGTAGTTAACAAGCTTATTGGGAAAGAACAGTGACCCCAAATAAGCAAAGGCCTTCTTAAAAATAAAAATGAAGTGGGAGTCATCGTGTACTTGCTGATCTCAAAACCTACTACACAGCTGTAGTAACCCAAACAGCATGGTAATGGTACAAAAAATAGACACATAGACCAATGGAATAGAGTTGAGAACCTATCTACCTTTGGTCAACTGGTATTTGACAAGGAAACAAAACCTATCAAATGGGGACATGACAGCCTCTTCAACAAATGGTGCTAGCAAAACTGGACATATACTTGAAGAAAACTGAAGTAGAATCTACATTGCACACCATACGGGGGTGGGGGAGAAAATCAGTTCAGCATGGATGAGAGACCTGGGGTAAAGCCCCAAACCATAAAGCTCGTAAGAGACAAAATGGGAACAAACTTAGAAGCCCTAGCTTATGGTATAAATAGTCTTGTAAATATAACCAGAAATGCAGAAGCAGGAGAGTATAAAATAACAAATGGGACCTTCTACAAGTATTAAGCCCCTGTGTGCATCAAAAAATTTTTCCAATAGGGTGAAAAGAAAACTTACAGACTGGGTATAAACATTTGACAATGACATCTGTGACAAGGATCTCACAGGGTAAAGAATGATAACCTAATAACCAAATGGGAAAAACATAGAAAGATTTTTCAAAAGTCAAATTGATTTGGAAATTTCAGTCTAACTAATTGTTTGTGTTTCAGAATGAAGACTCAATATATCAAACGAACAATGGCAGCCAAGATATCTCCCAACCAAGTCCAGGCTTCAGGAATTTAATTCTGGGGCCAAGAAAAGAAATACGGGATAATTCAGAGCTAGATCTAGAGATGGAGCCCATGCTTGATTCAGAACAAGAAAATCTGAACCGAGACCTGGAGTCATTGCTGGAGCCTGACTCTGAGATAGATCTTGACTCAGAGCTAGAGCGCAAGTCTGAGATGGATATGCTGGAGACTGATGCGGACATTGAGCCCGAGCCACAACCAGGGCCTAAACCCAGGAAAAACACTTTTAACCTTTCTCCAAAGACACAAAGGCCTCAGTATCAGACTCTGTATCAGGGTAGTTCCCAGTCTCAGCCTCAAACAGGGTCTGAGAGGAGGTATCACTATAGGAATTTGCCCTTATCTAAGGGCAATAATGTTGAAGATCCCTGGGAAGAAAATTGGGTATAAGGGGAGGGATTCCTTTGGTTAAATTCTCTCCACTCTAATGAGGATTGCTTGGTTCAGAGACCTAGACTTGATGTAGATTATCAGTACTTACCTTGTTTCTCCTCCAATCTGCTGGCTTTCTTCCATGCTCAGCTCTAGGATCAAATTCTCAGACCACAATACTAAATGCCAAGACTTATCTCTGAACTCTCAAACTAGGCTTACTTCATTTCACCTTCAGCAGATAACCTAGTGTTGGTGTGGTGGGTTTGGGTTTGTTTTTTTTCAAACCCCCACATCTCTGTGGTTTTTCAAGACCATCTCTAGATTGCCCCTCCTGTCTCTGTCTCTGTCTCTGTCTCTGTCTCTGTCTCTGTCTTCTTCTTTCTCTTTATTCTATATCCCCAAGAAAATATTGGGTAGGAGGATTCCAGAAATGGATGGATATGGTGGGAAAAGGTTACCAAGAAAAAGAATTGGTCAGCAATCATTTTGTGTGAGGTATTGTCATTGCATTGATAAAGAAATGAAAGTAGGCCAGTTAAACCAGGTCAAAGGTAAGCCAACCTGTGAGATTTGCATTCCAAGAAGTTGTTAAACTGGAAGTATTTTTGCTATCACCCCAGAGCTTGGGGTCTTATATTACCATAGGTTTTGCAATGCTAGTCAGCTCTACCAACTGATAAGGATGTTAGCTCTATGAATCTTTCTCTGGTCTTCAGATTCCCATCTAACAGTGCTGCTTTTTTTTAAAAAAAAAAAAAATCTTTTTCAAAATAATATTGTGTTTGCAGTAAAAGTTTAAACAGAAGTTCAGATTTCTATTCAACAATTTCTAAACCAATTGTTCAGTGACATTGGTTTTATTTTTCATAATGCATAAACATTCTCAATATTTCCATTCTGGTTCTGTTTTCATTCATCTAGTTTACATAACTCCTTACATGATCATTTGGTGTCATATAGATATTTTTAAGGACCACAATAGTAATGGATGACATTTCTTATTATGTAAGCCAATTTGTTATTTAGCTAAAAGGTGACCTGAGGGGTTATTTTCAGGTCAAAATTTAAGGAGGATCTTAGGGCAATAGTCTTGATGGTTTCAACTAACTCAGTAAATCTGGTTTGTTTCTGGTTTTGTTGTAGGAATTTAATGTTTTGTTCCACATTTCTCTCCCATTCTATCAGGATCCACCTATTGTGACCCCGATAAAATAATTGGCAAGCAGTAACTGGGCACCATGTACTTTTTCAGGTCTTAGAATGGATGAAGCCATGGCTTATATAGACGGTTAGTCCTATGCACTAACTAATTTTTGAGTCTGTGGTTTCTGTCTTTTTCTTTCGCTCCAGATAAATAGAAACAAATACTTGTATCTGAAATGGCTGTTTGCATGCTTATAAGATCCCTTATGAGATACTACTCAGCAAAATTGGATGCAGAGTATAAACTTTATGAAATAAATTAATGCCAATTAATGAGGAGGTTTCATGTACTGCTTCTTTCTTACAAATTATTAAGATATGATCAATCTGGAATCTGTACTTTTGAGAGGCAAAAGGTTGTTAAAATCTTTGGTAGACAAAGCTAGGAATTGGAAAAGACAGTTATTACAGCTCTTGTTAAGCGTCATGGAATTGGTTCCAACTCACAGTAACTGTTCATGTAACAGAACTCAACTCTGCCCAGGCCTGCACCAGCCTCACAGTCACTGCTGTGCTGAAGTCCACAGTCACAGCCACTGTTTGAATCCATCTCTTCTTTTTTGCTCATCCTCTTTCAAGAACAATGTCTTTCATCAGGGACTGACCTCTCCTGATAGCACACCCAAAGGACGACTCTTGCTCACTGCACTCCTTCCAAGGCAGGTTTGCTTGTTCTTTAAGCAATTCATGTATGTACACAGAGTAAGGCAGTCTTTACTTCAAAAGTAATCCTTTGAAATCCAGTGAAAGCCTTGTGAAGACCAGCAAAATGAGCCCCTTGAGTTCGGGAAGCACTTAAAATACAATTGGGGAGGGAGCTCTGGTGGCCTTGTGGCAAGCAGCTGCGTTGCAATCCTGGAGGCTCATGGTTCAAATCCATCAGATGCTCTGCTGGAGAAGGAGGGGCAATCTCCTCTTGTGCCAGTCAGATCCAACTCAACGGTACACAACAAGAGGAGGGAAATACAACTGGGGAAGAGTTGCCTCCTAAAAGTAAAAAGCTTCATAGACTGTATTAGTGTGTAAACTCCCCTGAAACCTGTTCACCATGGGTTGGTAACCCTGCAGGTGATGAAATACTGGTAGAAAAACTTTTGACTTTTCAGCAACATACAGACAGAGTATATGACATAACAAGTTTTCTCCAAACTCATTTAAAGAACCATCTCTTCAGTTAAAAAGAAAAAGTCTAGTAAAGGAAAATATAGACCCCAGGTCAAGTGTACTCGAAACTCTGAATTTTATTTCCAAATCAGTAAAAAAGTGACTAAACAAGAAACTCAGCAATGATAAAGCTCCTTTCTCTTGGTTATTCACTTTCTCTTATATGTTAAATGAAATGAATTCTTATTAAAATTTAGATTCTCTTATCATAGAGATAGACATTCATTCTTCCACTACTTAAGCATTTGCCACATGCGCAGCCTCCAAAATTGTAACAGGGAGCCAGAGTATCCTCACTACATTTATTAGTTAATGGAAACTCAGATGTTTTGTAACTATTCCAACTGAACTCCTACTGTTTGCTAGTCAACATAAAATAAGGAAGCTGTGAGAGCATTAGAGAAAGACCAGGGCTAGTTTAGGTTGTCAAGGAAGTAATTCCTGGATCAGTGGAACAGGACTGAAGTTCTGACGGATGAGAAGAGTTAGACCTAAAACAGGTTCCAGTCACTACTAGGAGGGCAGAACCAAATGAGTGAACCAAGTGTGGTGACCATGGCTAAGTACACAAACACCAGGAAAACAGTCAAATTGGAACTTTCAGAAGGTTACCACGGCATCAAGGGCTTTAGTAGAAACTGAGTCAAACAGGAATAAATGATCATTGTAGTAGAGATAGGCACCAAAATCTATTAAAATCAAGGAAACAGTTCACATGTCAGGAGCCTGGGAAGTATGTATGGATTCCAGTTTCTCTGAGCTGCCACCTCATGGCACCAGCATCCCTATACTCTCACGTTTCCATCAGAACAAGGTCTTTAAATGTACAATCAATGGCTTTTGACATTTGGAAGGTATTATATAGTCTAGATTTGTTTTCTGCTACAACTCAGTTTGTCCAAATCCTGTCTTTAATGCATGAACTTAGAAAGACCAACCAAATATGTGAATTACAATACATCTTTTAAAAAGATTATGCTGTAAATTCATAGCTTCCATCTCCTCCCCAAGTAATCAAATAAAGAAAACTAATTACAAAAGGTACAGCATTAAGGTAAGGATAAAATGAACAAGTCAAAAGCTGGGACTGCTTCTAAGATGCAGATCAACTGACTAAGACATTTAAAACTTTACAAAATATGTTAATTAAAAAATTAATTAAGATTTTAATGAAAGTTTATAGAGAACCTGGATTTCCATTTATTCATTGTTGCATATTTTCTTCCCTTCCTACCCTTTCCCCCCAGTTTTCTTTTTTCTTTGGGAATAAAAAGTCTTTCATTGTTATACAATCCCCCTACCCGACTCCCAACCTGCCAAGTACACTTTACTATGCAGCTCTTATTCTGGACTGTTGTCATGCAAATAATACTTAATTATATATTCCATTTAAGCAGTTCTCTCCCTCATCTATTTCAATGCCATGTACATTATCCCCTCTTTTCTTAGTTTCCCCCCAACACCCATGTCAGTCCTGTTTTATAGCAGTGGCATTATGCAGTATTTGTCCTTTTGTGACTGAGATAATCTCACTCAGCATAATGTCCTCCAGGATCACCCATTTTGTATAGTATTTCATGATTTCCTTGTTTTTCAATGCAGCATAGTATTCCATTGTGTGAATATACCACACCTTCTCTATCCATTCATTTGTTGATGGGCACTTAGGTTGTTTCCATCTCTTTGCTATTGTGAACAACACAGCAATAAACATGGGCGTGCAGTAAAAATTTTTTTAAAAAATAAGTTAATAAAGTAATTTTTCACAGCATATTCATCATTGTCAATTTTCTCTCTCTAATGTGGGTCAGTGAAAGAGAGGAGGACCCCCAGTAGCATGGACTGACAAGTGACTGCAACATTGGGTTTGAACATGGCAGATAGAGTGAGGATGGCCCAGGATAGGGCAAGGTTTCAATCTGTTATTCACAAGGTTGTAATAGGTTGTGGTTAACATGAGATATAAGAGGCCCCTGGATGGCACAGTTAGGCACTCAACTACTAGCCAAAAGGTTGGTGGTTCATGATTCAAATCCACTAAGAGATGCCTAAAAAGATAGGTCTGGTGGTCTGCTACAGATCAGTCACAGCCTTTACACTCATGAGGTTGCCATGACTCAGACACATTTTAAGGAGCTCTGGCGGCATCGTTCCTAGGAAGTTGTGGTGCTAGTCGAAAGGCTACCCCTCTCCAGCGGTTTGAATCTCTGCTGCTCTGAGGGAAAAAAAAATGGGTCATCACCTTTTCTGCCATTTACAGCTTCTAAAAACCTCCTGAAGGGTCAGCTATGAGCCAGTTTGGATTCAACAGTAATGACTTTTGGAACCACAAGATATTGGGGGAGAAATTCCAAAAACTCCAAAGTCAGTAACAACTTGATTAGAAAATGTTAACGTCTTAGCACAAATTTTCATTACTGGAAAAAGAAAAGCCAAACCTCTCAAAGCAATCTGTATTATGTGATTAATGGGATTCAAGAGGTGATTATATATGTAAAAAAAAAAAGATAAGTAGAATCAATAGAATTTCAGAGAAAATGGAACAGAGATTGGTAAAAAATGGATGGCCTGTGTAACTGTCTCTAAATGTTTTAGGTGTCATAGAAACTATGTGGTGGCTCAAGACGGTGTGGCTTTACTCGCATGGC